TTCACTTAGCATATGCAAAAAATGCTACGGTCAATTGATAATAAAGATAGAAGGATACCCAAGTGGGGATTCTTTCCATGCTACGGTCAATTGATATATTCACATAGAAGCAAAAAATGCTACGGTCAAAAAATGCTTAGCATAGATAAGCATGCAATTAACACGTAGGGATTCTTTCCATGGATAAAGCTAGATAGGACCAACTTTTAAAAAGCATGCAATCATGGCAAGTGGAGATTCTCTTCATAAAGCATTAGTCAATATAAGCCAACTCAATAAAGTGAATATTTAATTATGCATGGAAAGAAATTCAAATGACTTATGCACCGTACTTCTAAGATGGTCATGCATTAAAAATATTCTTGCTTTATTATGATAATCTTTACTAAAAAGTAAGTGGCCTATTCAATTAATTCCAAGTGGTGATCACATAATAAAAGGTATTATCAATTTATCACATAAAAGGTATTATCAAAGAAAGCATATTAATTGATAATCAAATAAATTCTATCATATTAATTCAAACCATTCCACGGAGCTAGAAATGGTTCAATATTAGTTCCACCTGCAGTTTTAGTCAACAACACACTAATAGTGTCCATTTGGACCTGAGGATAGTTCTGTCCGCCGTTCCACCTGCATGGTTAGTTATCAACAAAACATATATGTCTGTTGTAGGATAGTTCCGGGTTCAGGTCTACGGCTTGTTCCAAAGCACGACTCATCTTCCTTTCCTGCCATCACTTATAGACCAAAAGTAACACTAGTTGTTTGTCATCAACAAAACAATATGTTCCAACAGCATGCATGTGATGCTACAGACAAAAAATATGTGTTGCATTCTGTTTAAACCCTCTATTTGTTTACTGGAAAATACTTGATGTTTTAGAATTTCCATGTAGGGGTGGACTCGGGCTGGTTCGGGCCCGGTTCAGGCCTGGGCCCGACCGGGCCTCGGTTCATGAAAGGGGAGGCCCGGAACCGGCCCGAGTAACCCCCGGGTCCGGGTCGGGCCGGGCCTCAGTTCAATTTAATTTGTTTTTTTTTTTGCTTTTCCTAATTAACCCCCAACCCTCCCCCCTCACCCCCAAACCACCTCAAATGGCCCAAATTACCCAGCCCAATCCAAAAACTTATAAAAATTCAAAAAAAAAAGCAAATAAATAAATAAATTGGCCCGGACCGAGCCCGAACCGGCCGGGCCGGTTCACCTTTTCAGGGGCCCGAGCCTGGCCCGGAACCCCAGCGGGTTAGGCCTACCCGGACCGTTCCCTGGCCGAGCCGGCGGTTCGGGCCGGTTCAAACAGTGACCGGGTCGGGACGGTTCCGGGGCGGGCCGTCCAGCCCGAGTCCACCCCTATTTCCATGCGGTGTAAACCAGCTTTCATATATTTTAAAGCTTTTTGCTCAAAAATAAAGTTGAAGGGCAATAGTGCCCTTTGGTGACAACTTGAGGGGAGTTTTGCCCCTTTTCCCTTTTCTTTACATTTTCTATTCTAAAATCAACATAATTAATGTGTCCCAATAAATGAACATAGCATTAGCATATTGCAATTCTAGACGACAAAAATATCAAAGATGTGCTTTTCAAACCACATTATTAATACGAGTAGTACCCGCTCTCAATTTCCCAGAAAACACCATCACCAGGATTTATCTTAAAAGAAAATTCCAACAAATATAGGACCTCATGTTAAACATTACTCACAAATATCTTACCGATGTAATAAATTTGTATAATATTAAATCTTCACTATTTCGTTCCACTTTAAAAAATAATGAAAAGACCCGTTAGTAGCACTTAAAAACGCTTAAAATATACATACCATAAGAGAGTTGCTCACTTGAAAAGACATAAAATTAATACTAATGATTCAATTTCTACTACTTGGGATATTCAATATTCAAATTAAATGTATGTAAAAAATGTAGTATAACATACGCATTAGAACAAACATTAATACCTTTTACGTAAAAAAGTATGTTAAGGGTGCATTTATTTAATACCAAAAGCTCCACTTATTTTCAAATTAAAACAGTAACATTTAAACTAAATATTCCAAGTAAATAACTCTAGTGTTGTAGTAAACAAGTACTATTGCAATGATTTCTATTGTTTGTGTTACTAAAATATCTCCCACATATTTTTCACTTTGTAAAAATTAACAAAAATGATCTTTGTACCCATTCTTATACCCACCTTTGTATCCACCTATGTTTGTGAAGCTTTTTTTATTGTTTGTGAACCCCGGTTCACAGACAATATTTTGTACAAACAAAATATTGTCTGTGAACCGTGTTCACAGACAAAAAAAACATTCACAATAATAAGGTGGGTATAAGGGTGGGTACATGAAACATTGTTGATAATACTATTCATATACTATTTGTTCTTCACTTTTTGAATAATACTCTTTTGTAATAACATTTCCAAATAGAAATTTGCTTCATGTACACACTTTTGTACACATTAGTACACACTATAAAAGATTTTATTTTTTACCTTCTTTCTTTTACCTTTCTCTTCTCACCCTCTCCTCTCCAACTCAACGCCTCTCCCTCTCTCCGACGTATATGTCTCTCGCCTCTTCTCCCTTTCTTTCACCATTTCAATTCTTAACTTCTTTCAATCGTTTTCTTTTCTTTGTTTTGCACTCCCTCCATAATTATATTAAAGTTTTAATTATACAGAACTCATCTCAATCTTCTTTCTTCCATAGATTCTCATATATTTTCTCAAGAAAATGACTCGATGACCTAGGTCAGCACAGAGTCGGCCCTTTCAGCCACCAACACCATCAAAGCTCAACTCCTTTAGAAAATTACGGGATTTTTTTCTTCATACATAGTGCAATCTTTTTTAATCTCAAAGCTTTGAATGTTGATGTATTGATTTATTTCAGTTTTCTTTTTGCTTTTACGATTATATTTATTTTCCGTTTTCAGATTTTATGTATCTTGTTATGTTGAATTCAATTATTTTATTATGGTGTTGAATGTTTGATTGTTTTGTTTCATTGTTATGGGTAGGTGATAATAAATCTTGAAATTTCAGGCAAATTATTCTATTTCTTATATGTTTGCTTAAATGTTTGATAGAAGTTTTAGTTAATGTTTCTTGAAGTTGCAATTTTAGTTATAGTTGTTTTATTTTGTTATAGTTATAGACTTTTAGTGTAATAAGGCATATTCCAGCAAAAATGTGTGTCTTGATCTTACTATTAGTGTTGGAGCAAAGGTTTACAATGAATTTAAACCCATTAGAACTGAGCTTTTCAGGTCAAAAAATCTTTCTATTTACTCCCTCTGGTCACAAAAAGATCCTTAGTTTGGTTAAGGTATAACTTTTAGTATTTTGGTAAGATTATACCTGTTACAAACCATGGAACACTATATGTCTATATATATTATTTGAAATTGGCCTTTTGCTCAACTGCTTAAGCTAAACAACTAAACTTATTTTGCTGAACTTGTTAGTAAATTATTTGTTGTGTAGAAAGTTATAAGAAAATCTAGCTCCGTTTTATGAAATATGACCCTTTTTAGGATTATCATCTTTCTTTCTTTTCATTTATCAAGTTTAGTACTTATTTCCCTTTCACATTAGAGTACTTGAAGACCTTAAAATTAAGGTTGGGTGTGAGCCCATAGAGGTTTGTGTGATATACTGATGGTATTAGGGTTAGTTTGCAACTGCTTTTAAAAAAGCACTTCTCAGCTTTTGGCTTTAAAAAAGCACTTATTTTCCCAAACACTACAACTTTTATTTTTCTCGACTTCCGCGTCAAAAGTGCTTTTACTTTTTCTATTACACAAAAAGCACTTATTTTACCAAACACTACTCACTTTTACTTTTCAAAATCACTTTTTTCTCAAACACTATCAACTTTTATTTAATCACTTCTCCCCATTTCATTAAAAAAAGCACTTTTTTAAAAGCAGAAGCTGTTGCAAACAGACCCTTATACTACATGTGCTAGTTTTTCCTTTTTCTTTTGAATTTTTAAGAATCAATAAGTTATATTAAAAGATTTTTTTACCCTTACTAGGATTTGAGGCATGTTAATTATCGACTACCATATGTAGAGTCAAACGGTGTTATAGAAACTGCTCTGATTCTTTATCAGTGGAACAGGAAATATCAACTTGTCACTGTTGCTGCTGCTCCCATACTTAGGTGTGTTGCTGCTGCTCCCCCACTCTACTGTCAAAGGCAAAGACAAATACAAAGATGTTGAAGCGTATAACAGAGGAGTGTGGATTTTTTGTTGCTGCTACTGCCCCAATCTTACAACTAAAGGCAAAGACAAAGTAGATGAAGCAGAATCTGGATTTGTTTAATGACAATTGACAAGTATCCAATTTACACAAGCAGTAGTTTATAAGTATATTAGTATAGCAGTATGATGGGTGGATGTAATTTTTGTAGTTCACATACTCGGTGATGATTTTAAGGGAAAGTTCCCGAAATAGGACTAAAAAAGTTTAAAAATTCCAAAATAGGACTGTCATGTTTTTATTCTCAAAATAGGACTAATTACTGCCAAATTTGGAAAATACTGTCATGTTTGAAGGCTGGTATTGTCAAAACATGGCAATAATTAGTCCTATTTTGGGAATAAAAACATGAAAGTCCTATTTTGGAATTTGCAAACTCTTTTAGTTCTATTTCGAGTAATATCTCTGATTTTAACTTGTATAGTAAGGTGTACTTAAAATCTATTATGGATTGAGTTTCTATTAATATTTCATTAAGCATTGTTTCTGTGTTATTTTATTTTGTCAGTGCTTGAATGCTTGATTGAACCATTGTTTGGCGTGGTTATGAATCGTTTATGTACCATTTTATATTGTCAGTGCTTGATCAAACGTAAGAAATGGTATTACAACATTTTCTACACTTCTATAAAACCCATAAATTTTCTCCAAATCTAATAATTAGGTTCAATGCAAATTACTTATAACTAATTAGCATGGATAACAATTTAGTTCTTCAATCAACAGGTATTAATAGTAGAACTTCAATTTCTTTGACAAAATCAGAAGTCATTTTCTTAATACAAAAGATTCTTAATACAAAAGATACACTTTGAAAACACCAACAACAGTAATTACACTATCATATTCAATACATGAACATTAACTTTACAAAATAACTAATTGCAAGAATGGAGTATTCGGCTATCCTTTGTTTCAAATCTCTCATTCTTGATTATCTGAATCCATTGCATGCCATAATTTGCTTCATCACATGCCTTGATCAAACCTAACAAATATAGAAATGATCAAACATATATATAAAAAGAGGCTCATCATCTTCGTCATGAAGGATCATCATCGCCATCATCTTGTCTTGGATGGATTAAATTAGGTGGGTGAATTCTTCCTATAAACAATACATGTTTACTTGAGACATAATAATACAAGCATTTCCCAACCTTCAAGGACATGGTTAAAATAAGAGAATCTAAAATTCACAAATACAAACATTGAATAGACACTCCTGCATTACAAACGAATTAGAGAATTCAAAATTTACAAATTACAATTATTCTCTACGCACGGAAAAAATAAATGAAAACACAGATGATGTTTTGACCACACATAGACAATATAAACGAACACACAGACAATATAAATGAATACACGAAAAATATTTTAACCACACACAGACAGTATAAACGAACACACAGACCATTATTTTCTACACACTGACAATAAATGAACACAAAGACAATTTCTACGGACACACAAAATGTTTTGAATAATAACAACATAATTGTTTTACATAAGAAGGAAAATAAATTTATGGACAATAGTTCCAACCTTCTACTTTTCAGTAGTCTCCCTTTTTATCTCAAATAAATTACATGAGTACCCGCACATCACAATTTACAAAAGAAATCCAAGTAAATTTCATCTCATAAAATCATATTAATAGCAAGGTTGAAAGAACAGAAACATCTTGTGAAAACTTTCATTCAAACATTTTAACAAACATATAATGGGCATATAAAGGGAACACAATAGGACTAAAATTTCAATGGTTTACACTATAAACCTATATCAATGAAAGAAAGTAGTCAAGAGTTCAACATCATAGCATATAGGAGTATAATTTACTAAAAATTAAAAAACCAAACTCCATATAAACGTAAAAAGGTGTAGATGATTACCCTAATAATCATTGTATTGAGATAAACATAACCCATTGTCACAGTTGAAAGGAAACTTTAGAGAAAAAAGAAGATTACGGACGCAGGGAAAAAAGAAGATTACGGACCCATCATAATTGGAAAGTGTCAATGGAGAATTGGAATGGGAGAGTTCTTGAAAGGGGAATGAGACTGAGGGAGTAAGCAGGAAAACGGAAGGGCGTAGAAGAAAGGTAGATGAGAGGGAATGGGAAAGGGTTAAAAAAAAGAGTAACTTTTTCCTCTTTTTATAGTGTGTACAAGTGTGTACACTTTTGTGTGTACAAAGAGCTTTTTTGTTCCAAATAACCATATTGGGCACCGTTCGCACATCGTGCGCACACCGCTAGTAACTATATAAGCTTCTCCATACATGTATATGTCACATAATATTCTAAAATCAATATTACACCATAGTACAATAAATCAATACTCAGAATCCAAAAATTGATTGTTAATTTCTTATAATTCAAATATCACAAATCACGGAATCAAAGAACCATATTCACAAAAGTAGGTGGTTATACTTGCTATTTCATCTTTCACAAAAAGAAATTGCAATTTTTTAATTACCTCAAATCACTTGATTTTTGAGAGTTGTGAAATTGAGGCTTGAGGAGCTTCAGTTTCAGATCACAGCTGACCGCCGTAGCTATAGCCATCTTCTCTGCTTCAGCAACCCTATATCAATATCATAGTTCATCCAAAGCCTTCTGCATCGAAACTGTGCCGTTACTTTTACTCTCTTAGAAACAAGTTGTTCACTCGCTGCCTTGCTGGACGGAAATGGACACTTGGACCTTGCTGATTTGCTGATTCTGCAGCAACGTTTCCCCCACATTATTGACTAGACACAATGGTGTCCTTGCAACCTAGCTAACCCAAATTAAATATATAAAATCTGCTGACGGTCGAGTGCGCTCCATCCTCGGGGCAGCACAGCAGCAAGGAAGAAGATAAGCCTGGGGCTCCGTATAACAGACCTATATATACCTTATGTTTTCCGGCGAGGGGGGGGGGGGGGGGGGCACCGGCTTGCACCCCTGGTTCCGCCACTGCTTCCTTGTATACCCGTGTTCTCCACTTTCGAGACTTACCTTCTTGAAGGTGATTTCATCACTTTAAAAGCCTTTCCTTCCATGCACAGATATTGGAATCCTCTCCATGATTACAATCGATCCTTTCACATTATAGCCTTGGCATATGAGGACCACATTAAAGATAGATTATATGGTTACTCAAACACTTATTTGTTTGCTAACAAATATGGAAAGCATATGATCACTAATATATGGTCAATCAATTGTGCGATTGGCATCTAGAACCTGTTCCACCCATAGTTCAATACTAATAAAAGAACAGTTATAGAATCATGTAACTTTACAGTTTGGCACCTAGAATTAGGATGTTTTCTTTTGGACTGTTTTCAATCCCAGACCAGACCAGACCAGACTTAAACAGACCAGATCAGACCAGACCAGCAAATTTCAGTCCAAAAGAAAACATCCTTAGTCATCAACAAAACAAAACATAATATCCAACATCTATGTTTCTATTAAGTACTGCCTCTGTATCATAATATATGCCACATATTCCTTTTTAGGCAGTATTAGAATATTAGTCACATTTTCATTTTTGGAAAGAAAAAAAACAACCCAAAAGCAGCTACAGTACACTTTAGTAAAGTATACAAGTAGTACATTACTGCTATAATGTACCGTACATAAACTTATAAGTTATCTTAAAGAGTTTTTTCCACTTTTAGTTCTTCGACTATTATGTCACTGACACTTTTGGTACTCGACTTTGATTTTTTCCACTTTTAGTCCTCAACTATTATACTAGAGACACTTTTGGTACCCATCTTTGAAAATTTCCATTTATAGTCTTTCGACTTACATAAAAGTGACACTTTTGGTCCTCCAACTATTATAACAGTGACATTTTTAGTCCGTCACTTATTGTGTCAAAATCATAGTGGAAGGACTAAAAGTGTCAATTTGATAATATCAAAGGACTAAATGTGGAACACTTTGAAGTCGAGGACTAAAAGTGTCTCTAACACCAAAGTTGAGGACTAAAAATGGAAAAATTAAAAGTCGAGTACCAAAAGTGTCACTGACACAATAGTCGAGGGACCGAAAATGGAAAAAACTCTAATCTTAAATTACCTGGAAAGCCTACTGAAACACATATTATGACACGAAGGGGCCAGACTAGTACAGAACAAATTTTCTCAAATATTTGATCGAACACATTGCACGAACAAATTTTCTTCCTGTAATAGTACTAAGATAGTAAAATGTCAGTATTTACTGCCATCTTTTAGTCATGACTGTCAAAAAGTTGCAGTACTATGCATTCTACATGGCAGTATTTATTATAATTAATGGCAGTATTTTTAAATCAAGGCAATATTTTTCAATCATGATAGTAACGACTCCTATTTCAGGAAGAAAAACATAGTGGTCCTATTTTGGAATTTTCAAAGTTGTTTACTCCTATTTAGGGCAATTTTCCCTAAATATAAATGTGGTTTGATGATGGCATTATAGGCCTGACTTTTTTCTACCATAAAAAATATTTAATGTTTTTCTTGAGGTGGATATTTTTCAAGCGGTCAATGCGTTAAATATATTGTTGTTATACAAACGTGACTTTTAGATGCAATATCTTGAACAGTTAATTTCACTACAGAATAAATAGAATAAAAACTAAAATGATTGATTTATTAATTAGAAACCAAAACAATATGATGGTGATGGTTAAAGACATTTGTGCATTTGTCCCATTCCTTAATATAGCCATGCATGTATTGACAGAATTGGGGTGAAGTGGGGTTGAGGTGGGTGATTGACCTCCTGCCCCTTTGGATTCTCCCCTGGAAACCTACACATGTTATCTCAATTGATGAGCTAAGTAGCTAACTCACTAACTCAAAACATAACACATCTACAAAACGAGTCACACATTTTCTAATTTCATTGATTTTATAAGAACGTAAAAAAGATCATCGATAAAAGGAATGTACAAAATGTTTTGAGTATTCCTATAAAAAGTACAGAACTCTGTTCGCCTAATGTATGTATTCTATTAAATGGGCATACATTAAATTTTAAATATGTTTTCTCTATGTTTTCACAATTTAAAAGCAATTAGAGTTAGATGTTTCATCAGTTCTATCTTTTTCTTTGTTTCATCTGTAGTGCTTCTTTTCATGCATGCGACCCATTATAAATTGGAATTGCAAGCAAAAAATACAAAATTAAATACAAACCTAATGAAACAGTTGAACGTTATAAAGAAATACAACACAATAATGAGTTTGAATGAGCAGCGAATAGATCCAAACAGGGAATTGGGACTTACAATGCAGCTGAGGACAGCCAAGAGAAGCTTTATCCCTTGTTAGCTGCTGTCCTCTGGAAGGCAAGATGGTGGGTGTTCTACCCGGTTTTTATATAAAGAGCAGGTCTAAACATCAGTGTTGTATTGTTGCACCTGCAAGCAGAATTGAAGTAAGACGTTGTGCCAAATATGAACTTAAATATGCAACTCAATATTAAGTTGTTGCGCTCACAATTATGATAGTCTTGCTGTAGAACCATTCCAATATTGTGGTCATTTACTAATAATACCATAATGGTATCGGATAGGGGAAGCAGCGCCGGAGCAATTTACCAATATTCATTGCAAGAACACGCCCCACTTGTAAAATGATGGAAACGGTTTGAATCTCTAACGACAATCTGTTTCTGAACAAGCCCTGAAGCTAATTTCATAAAGTTGTGGCAATCTAAACAAATACGGATATTCTTCATTATCCTAATGACACCCGATTTGCAGTGTGGGTCATCAGAATGCATCAATACAAACATCAGAGCCAGCTTCTCACTATGGTAGTACAGTTGTTCCTCTTTATGCTCCTCTTCTATGTCATGCAGGACCAGAGTTGTCATAGGAGTATACCCTAATTTCTTCATCTGTTTAACAAGATCCTGAAGACTAGCACGGATAGCTTCTCCAAGGTTGTGTCTTTGGCCACCAGAAGCAAACTCATGTATCCTGCCACCAATTTCAGTCCAGCTCAATCCAGGCTCCTTTCGAACTCCAGCCTCTATCATTTGCTTCCTTAGGAGACATGCTTCATGAAGATCATTTGAAGAAAAGTATATGTTTGACATTAAAACATAACCTAACGAGTTCCCTCTGTCCAGCTCTTTCAAATTTGAAGCAGCAATGGTGGCCAGTTGGTATTCACCATGTTTCCTACAACCAGCAAGTAATGCACTCCACACAACACAATCTGGCTTCATAGGCATCTCTCTTACCATCTTCTCCGCCTGAAAAATCTTCCCAGCCCGGCCAAGTAGATCAACGATACAGGCATAGTGATCAAGTTGAGGAGCAATACCATATTTAGCAGACATGCTATTAAATATCCTAGTCCCTTCTTCAACCATCCCAGTATGGCTACAAGCAGAGAGCAAAGCAACAAAAGTTGTTGCATCAAACTCAACATCCATGTTCTCGAACAACTCCAGTGCCTCCTTCTGTTTCCCATGGAATGCATAAGTTTTTAAGATGGAGTTCCATGAAACTGTATCCCTTAAACTCATCTCATCAAAAACCTGCCTAGCCTCAGTGATTGAGCCACATCTTCCATATGCATGCATGAGTGCATTTTGAAGCACTAAATAATCTGTAAACCCAGACTTTTTACATTGGCAGTGCAACATCGAGGCATATCTTTCCGTCACGAATCCAGCACAAGCTTTTAGTGCAACAGAAAAAGCAAAGCCATCTGGAACCAACCCTTCTCTATGTAGCTGACTGAAGAGAAAAAGAGCTACCTCAGGTTCTTTTTGAGAAAACGTTGCCATAATTTCAGTCCACAAAATGATATCTCCACACCCACGAACTTCAAGAAACAACATGTAACAATCATCAACATTTCCTTCAAGAAAGGAGGAATATGCTTTAATCAAGGCGGTCACAACCTCTACATCTAGCACAAACCCGGTCTTTAAGCTAATACAATGCAGTTGAGAACAAAATTTAAGGCTCCAAGAAAGATCATCAAGGACTTTACACAACGCAGAAAATACAGTGACCAGTGTGGCCCGGTCAAATCCCATACCGTCAGAATGCATCATTATGAAAAATCTCATAGCCTTGTCACCTTGGCCACTCTTATGAAAACCTGCTATCATTGAATTCCAAGAAACAAGATTACGAAACTCCATATCACTAAAAACCATCCAAGGTTCATTGCCATCATTGCATACACTCATCTCAAAATTCTTGGAATACATCCCAATCAGCGCATTAGCCACATGAACAAAGGAGTTATAACCAGTTTTCAGTGTGTGCGTGTGCACTTGCCTACCACGGAAACCATCGCATGTTGAAAGCAAGCTAGCATACACAAAATCGTTAGGTTTGTCAAGAGCTAGCATATCGCAGAACAAGCTGAAACATACATCAGCTTTCCCACAATGGGCGTAACCGGAAATAAGCAAGGTCCAAGATACAACATTTCTACAATGCATTTGATCAAACAGTTGGTGGGCACGGTCCAATTGGCGGCACTTTGAATACATGTTCAGAAGGTGATTGGCAGTATAAAGGTCATGGAAGGCAATCGGGTTGTGTGCGATCATGTGTTGATGGAGAGCTTGACCAACATCTATGCAGCACAGTCGAGCACAGGCGTGGAAAAGAATGGCGTAAGCACGGTAGGAGTGAGAATCATTTGACTTTGAAGAGTAGAAAATTGAAAGGGTTTCGACAAGATTGTCATATGTTGGCCTTACACACAACCTCTGGAGAACGGCGTCAAGCTCAACGGTGGCCGGAAAACTAGTCGTGTTTAAGCTTTGGAGGTGTGTGATTATTGGTCTAGCTCGTAACACACTTTTGCAGAACATTTGGAGAGTTTCAGTCCGTGTAGTTTGGGTGAACTAAGTACCTTTCAAGCTTCTGCAATTTGTTAACATTCGATCATCCTGATAGTCATTGATGTCATTAAGACAAACAAACATTTAAATACCTCATTCAATAAAAAATGTCTAACCACTAACTATTCTCAAAACAATACATAGCAATAATGATATTGATCAATCAGTGGATGTACTCATGTACCTAACAGTTTAATTTAATATCACCAAGGTCGTAGCCAGGACGGAGGTTCGGGGGAGGGTGTAAACTAAATCCTCTATGCAAAAAACTTAAACGAGTATTAAAAAAAAAATCTTTAACAGCCAATGACTTATTTTTTCTGTTTTCCGGACTTTTCCCTGCTCAATTTCATGCGCATCATCAACCAATTCTTCTTCAACAGGTAAAATATTTGAAGTTTCAGTCAAGTCATTTAACTCTTGTCTGTTTTCTTTACTTATAATAGGGGCTTTTGCCTTTTAGAATTAGATGGTGTTAGTTTAGAATTTGAACAGGTAAAATATTTGAAGTTTCAGTCAAGTCATTAAACTCTTGTCTGTTTTCTTTACTTATAATAGGGGCTTTTGCCTTTTAGAATTAGATGGTGTTAGTTTAGAATTTCAGTCCATTGGGCTTATTATGGCCCATTGTAGTAAATAGTTGTACTCCAACTGATCTGTGAATAAATACTCCCAGTTCTATTCAATAAAGTGTGGATTGCCTCTCATATTCTTGATCTGAATATTCTCTTCCTTCTAAACGACCTAACGAACTAACGAACCAACAGTGGTATCAGAGCTCGGCGATCAGCGCTAATGGCTACCGTGAATAATCTGATTGGCAATCTTCCTATGCTCGACTCCAAGGATCTTGACTGTTACGAGAAATGGAGTGTGAAGATGAAGACCTTATTCGGCTACCAAGAAGTTCTTGATGTAGTGAACAATGGCATTCCAGTTGGGGGAACGACGGATGCTCAGAGCGCTCAGGAGCGTGAGGCGAGGAAGAAGGACTGTAAAGCCCTATTCTATATCCACCAGTGTGTGGACGAAGCCAACTTTGAGAAGATAGCTGCAGCGACTTCCTCGCATGAGGCCTGGGAGATCTTGAAGTCGAGCTATGCGGGAATAATGAAGCTAAAGACGATCAGACTTCAAACATTAAGGCAACAGTATGAACTCTTGTAGATGGAGGAATCTGAATCCATTGCTAGTTACTTCAATCGGGTTTTACATCTGACAAACCTGATGAAGTCATGTGATGAGAAGTTAACCACAAGAAACATTGTGGAGAAGATATTGCGTACATTGCCCCCCAAATTTGATGTCATTGCTGTAAATTTGGAAGAATCTAGAGATCTTGATACTCTGAAGTTGGAAGATCTTCAGGGAACTCTAGAAGCTCGTGAGCAGAGAGTTAAGGAGAGAGAATCTTCTGCACAAACTTCTTTAGATCAGACTGCCCTTCTATCTCAGTTATCCAATAAGAATGAACCTTGGAGAGGAAGAGGTGGACACATGAGAGGAAGGGGAAGAAGAGGCAGAGGTGGCCGAGGTCAATCTGCAGGAAGAGGTCAAAAACAACCTGATCAGAAGTTTCAGAATGCAGGTCCAGCAAGAGGAGGAAGAGGAACCTGGAGAGGTGGCAGAGGAAACAATAGAGGAAATGGACATTCAAGAGGTGGTGGTAGAGGAAATTGGAAGAACAATGACAATGCTAAGCCGAGAAATGAAAACAAGGCAAACATTCAGTGCTTTGTATGCCAGAAATATGGCCACTATTCCTATGAATGTTGGTATAGGGATACTGACAATGACAGGGCTGAAGAAGCACATGTAGCCCAGAATCAAGAAGTGGAAGATGAAGAGGATGTGTTGCTAATGGAGTGATGGCTACCACAGTGGTGAACACAGATTCAGATCATGGGCTTGAGAACTCATGGTATCTTGATACTGGGTGCTCAAACCATATGTCCTGCAGAAAAGATTGGTTTCTTGATCTTGATTCCAAAGTTAGGAATCAGATCCAATTGCAGATAACAGCACAATTAACTCAGAAGGTAAAGGAAGGATTCAAATTACTTGCAGGAATGGTAAGAGTACTTTCATTTCTGATGTGTTGTATGTACCTGACTACCTGCAATGAAACATAACTTGCTTAGCTTGGTTCAGTTGCTTGAAAAAGGCCATAGTATTAGTATGAAGGATATGCACATGAGAATTTATGATAAGTATGGTGTTCTGATCTTGAAAGCTCCTCTAACTCCTAATAGGACTTTCAAGATTAACATTAATGTCAATGGGAATATGTTCTTTAAAGCTGGGGTAGTAGAAAAGAATTGGCTGTGGCATTACAGGTTATTGGTGGTCTGCCATCTGTGAAAATGAGTCAAAAATCTGTGAATGCTGTGTATTTGGGAAGCAGACTAGAAGGCCTTTCAAATCCTGGGTATCAACTAGAAGCAAGAGTGTGTTGGAAGTTGTTTACTCAGATGTCTATGGACCCTTTGAAGTAGCATCTCTAAATGGATATGATTATTGTGTATCCGTTATTGATGACTTCAGTAGAAAAATGTGGACTTACTTGATTAAGCTAAAATCTGAGGCGTTCCTAACTTTCAAGAAGTTCAAAAACTTGGTAGAAAAGCAGAGTGGTAAGTTGATTAAGGTGCTGAGAACTGATGGTGGAGGAGAATATGTGAATAGTGATTTCAAGAATTTATGTGAACAGGAGGGTATTCTACATGAAATAACTGTACCTTACACTCCTGAACATAATGGCACTGCAGAAAGAAGAAACGGATCGGTACTTAACATGGCTATGGCACTGCAGAAAGAAGAAACAGATCAGTACTTAACATGGCTAGAAGTATGTTGAAGACTAAAAACCTGCCTCATGACTACTGGGGTGTAGCATTAGTTACTGCTACTTATCTCCTGAATCTATGTCCTACTAAGAGACTGCAACAAATAACCCCTGAAGAAGCTTGGTCAGGAAAGAAACCCTTAGTAGGTCACTTGAAAGTGTTTGGATGTGTGTGCTACAGACATATAAAAGAAGAAGAAAACTGAGTGTGATATATCACAGGTAATATAACGGCAAACGATAACAGATCAATGAGAAATATGTAGAGTAATGATCGAAGATGTTTATTGATAATGAGTGAAACACAGTACGTATAATACAAGTGCTGGGACTATTCAAGAAGACCACTCTCCTAAGCCAAAATGCCAATTCAATCACCGCCTGCCTCATTAATCATTTACCCAACTATTTATAGCCCATAACCCCCTCCCTTCTATTAAATATACAAGCCGACTTATTATTATCTATAATAATAGGCCCACTTATTAATAATTCCTATCATTACTCCCCCTAAACAACCACCTTGTCCTCAAGGTGAATGATAGGAATGAGCCATGATTTTCCACTTCGAATTCATTCTTGCACCTCTCCCTCCCCGGTACTTGATTGATAGCTGGACTAGGAACTTCAATACCAATTCTTTTGATATCTCAAACATTTCAGCAAGTGTTATCTTCAAAATGGGGCAGGAATTCCCATCTTCAATGTCAAACTTCCATAGTTGGTAAGCTTCAAAACCAGTTTCCCAGGTTTGCTTCCCCAGTTTTACTGCATTTTCCGTTACTGTCATCCCCAATTCGGCATCAGATTGAATGAACAAGGACTCTTCAATTGCAATATCCTGCACCCTAGATTTTGTCAAAGTCCCCAGAATTATTTCAGTGTAGTCAAACCCCAGAGCTTTATCCTGACTCCCAGCACAAGCACCACCCTTTACCTTCACAAATGGTCCTTCACCAAACATAAAATAACCAACACCCGTGTCCTGTAGAATCTGAGTCATGGTTTGCAGTGATATTTCCATGGAGCTCAAGTATGGGTCCCCTTAAATCTGCTGATCTAACCCCTGAATCTTCCATTTTATACTTTGTTTCTGAAAGTTTATTTCCACATCACCCAAAGTAGCCAGCCACCCCATTCCAAATACCAAGTCAGTTTCTTCCAAAGTCAGAAAGTAAGGGCCTGTTTACTAACAGAGATATTTTCCAGTTTTCCAGAAAACTGGAAAACTGGAAAACAGAAAACAGGAAACATGTTTACCAAAGAAATTCCTGGAAAACTGGAGAAAGGAAAAAAGAAAAATGTGTTTACCGAATCGTTTTCCAAAACGGAAAAAATGAAACATGTCTCTCTTTTCTTTAATGATTTGGAGAAGTGACTTTTACTAGTTTTCAAAATTTGGAAAACGCAGATGCTACAGTACCGCTGCAATGAATTTCCATACTTACACCTAGTGGTGGGTCCGATCCCGCTCCGATGTCGATTCCATTCCGGTACCTCCATCCTCGTACCTTACCCCTTACCCCTACCCTACCCTACCCTACTACCTTACCCACCCAACCCAACCCCGCATACCCTTTTTTCCTATAATGACCCTACCCCACCCCGGCCCCACCCCGATACACCCTACCCTACCGCCACCCCCCTACCACCTCGACCCCACCCCGCCCCACCCTACCCTACCCCCACCCGTATATTACCCCTTACCACATGCCCCTACCTCGGCCCCACCCCACCGCCATCCTACCCCCACCCTCATACCGCCATCCTACCCCCACCCTTCCGCCATCCTACCCCCCACCCTACCTTTCCCCTACCTCGGCCCCACCCTGATCCACCTTACCCTACCGCCACCCTCTACCACCTCGACCCCACCCCGACCCACACCTACCCTACCCCCACCCGTATATTACCCCTTACCCCTTACCACATGCCCCTACCTCGGCCCCACCCCACCGACATCCTACCCCCACCCTTGCGCCATCCGACAACCATCTTACCCCCCCACCCCTACCCTTCCCCTACCTTGGCCCCACACTGATCCCGGGCCCACCTTATCGCCATCCTATCCCACTACCCCCTACCTTACCCCAACCCCAACCCTACCCACTACCCCCCACCCTTACCGCCATCCTACCCCCACCCCCCTACCTCTTCCCTACCTCAGCCCCACCCGACCGTCATCCTATCCCAACTCCATCTACCTTACCCCAAACCCTACTCACTACCCCACCCTTACCCCTAACCACGACCCTAACCCACCAACTACCCCCACCCAACCCCCTACCCTAGACCTTACCACCCCACCCCGACCATACCCCTTACCCCACCCCCACCTATAACTTCCCTACCCCGACCCCTACGAGTAAGTATGGGTGGGTATGAAGGGTTGTGGGGGGAGTATGGGTAGAGTGTAAGATCGTGGTAAGGATAGGGGTCAAGGGTATGAAATTGGAGAACTGAGTGAAAAAATTGATGAACATGGAAAACTAAAAAATAGAAACAGAAAATTGGAGATAGAAAAACTGAAAAATAAAAACAGAAAATTGGAGAACGAAAAACAAAAGTAGAAAACAGGAAAATATCTCTGTTAGTAAACAGGCCCTAAAAGTTTTGTTTTACGATTGAACCCTGCATACATAAAGTCAAATCTTCACATCTTCCATCATTAGATAGCTTTTCTCCATTACCAACCTGCACTTTATATCCTGAAATGGTTTTAAAAGGCAGCTCCAATTCATCCACCAGTTTCTTAGAAATGAAGTTGTGAGTGGCCCCACTATCAATCAGCACTTCCACATGTTTTACCCCTCTATCCCACTTTAGAATTCCTTTAATCTTGAAAGCTCTCATGGTAGGTATCCCCTCCTTACTCATGGGTGATAAGTGCATGGATTTGGACTCCATTACAATTTCTTCTTCTGTAATTTCAGGATTTATCCTTTCTGATTCCTCCACAGCATCTGAATCTTCTACAAGCATCATTTTATAATGCTTCAGTTTGCAGGTATGCTCTTTATTCCACTTCTCTCCACACTTAAAGCAAAGCCCCTTCCTACTTCTCTCTTGGTATTCATCATGTGATAGCTGAGGTCCAACTCTTTTTATCCCTGAAGAATGAATTTCAGTCTCCTTATTACCTGCTGAATTAAACCAAGTCTGGTTAGTTTTGTTCTGATTTTGAACCCCTGAACTACCATCTTTTGCTCTGTAACCTTCTCCCCATATGGGAGGTTTAGAATAAACTGGTCCTTTATCTCTTCCTCCCAGTCCCTCATCAGACTGCCTATTTCCCATCACTGTTTCATTCTTTTGCTCAACCAACAAAGCCACATCCATCGCTTCAGCTAGAGACCTAGGGTTATACAGTTTCATTTCAGCTTTGACTTCCAGCTTAAGTCCAGTGAGGAATACTTCCCTTAATATTTCCCTGTCAACATTTTTCTGGGGAGCGGTTATCATTTCAAATTCATCCCTATAATCTCTGACTGTCCCAGTTTGCCTCAAGCTCAACATAGGTCAGCTAGGTCAGTAAGGGTTCTGTAGCAGGTCAGGTTGGAATCTACGAATAATTGATTCCTTAAGTGTCCCAATTCTTCTCCTCGGTCTGATGTTCCCACCATTGGAACCAATTCAGAGCCCGGTCTTCCATGGCTACTACAGAAACTTCCAGCTTGTCGTCCTCAGTAATGTGATTCAATCTAAAGCACCTCTCCATCCTTACTAGCCAGCTAAACAATGGTAGATCAACCTTACGTCCTGTGTGCACTGGAAATCTCGCATACTCCTCATGCCTTCTATGATTAACAGGATTTGAGTGAGCGGAATTACCTCTAGAGGCTGTCGGGCTGTGCGAAGGTCGCGATGGATGACTGCGAACAAATCGCGATCTCCCCCTCTGACGGAATTCATTGCTCATCGTATCCATTCTCCCGGTCATGTTCTGCATCATCGCCTCCATCCGCAGCAATGTTTCCTCCATTGAGATCCGACTGTGTTCCACTGCTTCCAAACGTTGCTCCATTTTTCCTCTCGTTCGAACCATCCACGATCCGAACGACGCTTTTGGACAAATGTGGCGATATCTCAACAACCAGCAATCGCCAAACCACTGCTCTGATACCAATGATAGATCACAGGTAATATAACAGCAAACGGTAACAGATCAATGAGAAATATGTAGAGTAATGATCAAAGATGTTTATTGATAATGAGCGAAACACAGTACGTATACAAGTGTTGGACTGTTGAGAAGCCCACTCTCCTAAGACAAAACGCCAAAATATATCACCGCCTGCCTCATTAGTTATTTACCCAACTATTTATAGCCCATAACCCTCTCCCTTCTTCTAAAAATACAGGCCTACTTATTATTATCTATAATAATAGGTCCACTTATTAATAATTCTTATCAGAGTGACAAAGGGCAAAAACTTATTCTTGTTGGTTATGACCCTACTGGTGCATATAAATTGTATGATCCAGTAGAGAAGAAGTCATATATTAGCAGAGATGTGCTAGCAGATGAGGTAAATGCATGGACTTGGGATAGTCCAAATGCTACCACAAATGTGAGGTTTACTTTAATGAACTCAGAAGAAGAAGGAGGACAAAATGCATCAGACACTGGTAATGATCAGCATAATGAAGGAACTCTGATGTTGAGACCAACAAGGAATAGGAGGGTGTCAAGTAGGCTAAATGATTATGAAGTGTTTTCTGACAGATTGATAAATGAAGATGGTGATCTGGTTCACTTAGCCTTCTTCAGTGGGGTGGAACCAATTACATATGAAGATGCAGCAAATGATCCTAAATGGCTAGAGGCTATGAAGGAAGAACTTTCAGCAATTGAGAGGAACAATACTTGGAATTTAACTGAACTACCAAGAAACAAGAAGCAGATTACGGATAAATGGGTGTATAAGCTTAAGCAGAGATCAGATGGATCAATTGCTAAAAACAAAGCCAGGTTGGTAGTGAAAGATTTTATGAAAAAAGAAGGATTGGATTATAGTGAAGTCTTCTCTCCAGTTGCCAGGATGGAAACAGTAAGGTTGATAGTGGCACTAACAAGTTTAAGAGGCTGGACTTTACACCAGATGGATGTTAAGTCAGCTATCTTGGATGGTCCTTTGGAGGAGGAAGTTTATATATCACAACCAGTGGCGTATCCAGAATAATATGTCAGCGGGGGCGAATTTATCTTAGATTAAGAGAGAGAAAATTACAAGATAAATCAGACTAATCAGATTAAGAAAAAACTGTAAAACTAATTATAAAAAACAAAATATTCTCTCATAAAAAACATTACGATATTATGTTTAATTAAATTTCACTTTGTTAGAAATAATTTTATCACATTGAAGATGTAATTTGTGCAAAATTATGTCAATATATAAATGAATCAACTAGGGAAGGAGGAACATCTAGTTAGAATTAATTTTTATTTAAAATTCAAAAGTATAATAAAATACTAGTTTTTATTATGTATAAAATTAGTTCATATGTGAAACTAGAATTGTAACTATATTGACGTAGTTTAGATCTTTTCAACTAGAAGAAAGTAAAAAAGAACAATGTATAGCCACTTAGAATTTGCTTAAGGCTTCAAGGACAAAAGAAATAAAACAAAAAAAAAAAGAAAAACCGCAGGTACCTAGGAATCGAACTCCAAACCTCAGCTCAAATGAACATCTTATGGCTCCTACTTTTTCCGCTCGACCCCTAGCAAGTTTACTCAAAATATTCGTTTTAATTGTATAAGAAACATTATGTATAACAAAAAATATATGTATAAATTTAAATTGGATATATATATATAATAGGGTTGGGTGAGGGTTGGGTGGGGGCAGCTGCCCCCCCTGCCCCCACCCTGGATACGCCCCTGATCACAACCACACGGTTTTGAACTGAAAGGAAGGGAAGGACAAGTCTATAAACTCAACAAAGCCCTTTATGGACTTAAACAAGCTCCCAGAGCTTGGAACAAGAGGATAGACCAGTTCTTACACAAGCTGGGTTTTTTCAAGTGTTGTGCACAAGCAGGCCTGATATTACCTATGTTGTTGGACTGGTCAGCAGGTTTATGGAGAACCCTAAAGCTTCACATCTCATTGCAGCCAAAAGGATAGTTAGATATATTAAAGGGACACTAGACTTTGGTATATTATTGCCAAATTCAATAAAAAACAAAGAAGAGGTGATTAACGGATATTCTGACTCAGATTGGGCTGGAGATATGACTGACAGGAAAAGTACTTCTGGGTATGTGTTTATGTTGGGAAATGCACCTATTTCATGGTGTTCAAAAAAGCAGCCTGTAGTAGCATTATCATCTTGTGAGGCTGAATATATCTCAGGTGCATTTGCAGCATGTCAAGCTCAGTGGCTGAGTTCTTTGCTGAAGGAGATGCAGGTTGAAATTAGAAGTGTAGCCGTATTGAAGATTGACAATAAGTCTGCTATTGACTTAGCTAAAAATCCAGTAGCACATGCAAGGAGTAAGCACATTGAAACACATTTTCATTTTCTAAGAGATTAGGTGAATGGAGGCAGATTGAAGCTGGAGCATTGCAGGTCACAGGATCAATTGGCAGATATACTGACAAAGCCATTGAAGATACAATTATTTCTGAATTTGAGGAAGGAGCTGAGTGTGTTGTCGTGTACTGAAATTCAGAGGGTGTGTTAGATTAGAATTTCAGTCCATTGGGCTTATTATGGCCCATTGTAGTAAATAGTTGTAGTGCAATTGATCTGTGTATAAATACTCCCAGTTCTATTCAATAAAGTGTGGATTGCCTCTCATATTCTTGATCTGAATATTCTCTTCCTTCTAAACGAACTAACGAACCAACAGATGGGATAGTCATACCTACTTAAATTGACAGAAATCAATAAAATAGTCCATATATTATTCCAATCACATAATTCAATATGAATACGTTAAGAAATTCAAAAACCAATTCCCAATTGAAATCATACGATGACACAAATTAATCACATATTATCAAATTTGAAAAAATGTAGAACAAATTCTCATTTTTCATTTGAACAGTTAAACAATTAAAAGCATTCCAGATTTCAAGCTATTAGATACTTAAATTAAAATAAAAAAATTTAAACAAATAACAATAAAGCCTTACTTCCTTTAAAAACAATAAAGCCTTGGCTGGGAGTGGGGGCGAATGGGCGATTAGCTGTGTGGCAGCGGGGTGGCGCTGTCAGGAAGAAGCGGCGGGGTGGCGGCCTGCTGGCATCTTAGCGACTGAGCCGACTGAGCATTTGAGCCACTGCGTGGGAGACAGGCGGATGGGTCGACGGCGGTGGGGCGGATGCTTAAGCGTAACGCCTGAGCGTCTCCCTTCGATTGATCTGATCTCATGTGATTAAGTTTTAGAAACTGGGCAATGACTGGGGCCGGATTATTATTTTACTAGCCTTCAAACCCGTGGGATGCACGGGCAATATGTAATTTAGTTAATTTGAAATTTGATTTGTTTCGGATCATATGTAATGTGATTTAAAAGAAAAATAAACTTAGTCTAATATAGAGCTCGTTTGATAATACTAAGAATAAATCGATTTAACTTATTTTAATGAAATTGATTAAATTTTGGCTGAATGGGCTGAATGATTGAAATCTCCTGAATCTTGAAAAAAATACTTCGTATGTAAAATATATTCCATTTGTGAAGCCAAGAAAAGATTATATGAAAAATAGTTAAATTGATCTTCTACATAAGTATCTCAAGTAAATATAATTGTTATGAACCCGATTTTAAAGAATTCATAATTTCACGTCCTCCAAATTACTTTATTAATTATGCACCTCAAGTTTTTTCCTTCTACTATTCCTCATTCAACTTGATGTGAAATACTGAGTACCTACTTTTAACTTTTAATAATAAGATGTTACATTTTACTCATTATTTCGTCACACCGTAAATGTAAAAAAATGAAGTTTTTTTTTTACATTTTACTCATTATATATTTCGTCACATTGAAAAAATAATTTAATTGTTATGAACATTTAACAAATACTTTTCTAGTATTTCTCATTCAACTTGGTATGAAATACACATTTTAAAATTTTAATTGTGAGATCTTATATTTTTCTCATTAATAAGGACATTTTTAATTGAATTAAACTTTTGGATTTGATTTGGTAAGAATTAATATGGTCTGGTAGATGTTTGTTTTGCATTTTATGTGACTTATTATTATTATTATTATTATTAAAGTTTGATCTGATTTGATTTAATCTGGAATTGAAATCAATCCAATTAAAAAAATTCTATTAAAAATAAAAGTATGAATTTGTAAACATATAATATATGCAATTGTGATATACTTTTGTCAGTTATTTGCAAAGTAAACATATAATATATGCAATATGCAATCGTGATATCAATCCTGATATGCAATATGCAATATGCAATATGCAATTTGTAAACGTATAAGGTAGATTTATACGGATTTCTATTTCCATATTAATATGCCATTAAAATAGAATCTAGCTAATTAAAATAAAAGGTATAAAAATAACTAAATAATTAATATATAATGACATGGCAGGATTATGTGGCGCTTTGTATGCTCTTAAAAAGTTCCTCTTTTATATATATATATATATATATATATATTGATTTGAAGGAAATACGCAGTAGATATCAAAGACAAATCGTTAACGATACAAGCCGGGTAAAAAAAAAAAAAGATGAACCCTCATCCAGACAGGACGGAGGAGGATGTAAATCGGACTATAACCAACAGATAGAGAGTGAGGTTCTGTTCCCGATACTTGCAGAGGCACTATGCATTTTTAGTATAATAACTCTTCATTGCAGTTGCCGGGATTCAAATTCGGGACCTAACTCTTGTGGCACTCTCTCGCAACTAGTTGAGTTACGCCCACTGGTAAGCTCCTCTAGTTAAATTGTGGCCGGATTATTATTGGGCAATTTATAAGCAACCATTTGGGAGTTTGGCACACTCTAATAGTCTAATGAGTTGCACATATAAACAGGGGCGGATCTGGGCCTAGGCCAGGGCGAGCCTAGGCCCATACTCTAACAGAATAAAATTACTAGTATATATAGGTGTTATATTATATACGAAGTATATTGTTGTTAAGTAATGATATAATTACAAAGAATGTCAATTTGAACACAAATGTCGTGTTAGCAAGATGGAAGGAGACCCACATGATTACTTTGTACGTCCCAAGTCCGAAGATCATGTAGAGCATGATTTTTTTTACTTTACAATGGTAAAGTGTGAAAATTTCATTTTTCTTCTAAAATCTCTATGTCCCACACCTATTATATTTATTTATTTTTCTTTGACATTGAAGTTGCAACATATTTTATTTTACTACTCACTCCGCCACTTAAAACTTTGTCAACTTTACTTTTTTGGATGTCCATCTAACTTTGCCACTTTCCCTTTTAAGTACAGAGTTTGTGGTTACAGTTAATTCCGGCTCCTCTGCACAAATCCCTACCATACAGTTTTTATTTTATTAATCTCCGTACCGGTCAAACATGATAAATTTTTAAGGGACGGAGGTAGTATTTTACTACATTTTGTCATTTTTTCTTTGCAATACGCGTTATTTAATTAAAATTTGGCCCCACCTGAATGACAATGTTAGATCCGCCCCTGCGTATAAACACTGAACTAGGGCTATACATTTCATACACTCACCTACATCTGTGATCTGTCCACGGTTCAAATCAGACCCGAAACATGAACTAAACCGACAATTTGCTTCGTATAACAGTATGGGACGGTACAAGACAAACTTTTGTGTTAAACAAATATTTACTTCATAATCTATCTTAGAGCTGAAATGCTCAGTAGGATTCCGATTACGAATATTCATTTATACTCTTACGTTGAAATGCTCAGTAGGATTCTGAATCTTACAACCTTTTTGTACACTCAATGTAGGAGTATAAACGAATATTTTACGCTGAAATTTTATGCACATAAACTCTACTTGATGGAAAATATGTTCACAAAATTTCATTTGAAAATTACACCCAAAAGCACCTCAAATAGACAAGTTCGGATGACGATTCCCATCGAAATTACCTGATTAAGTGATCTGTTATGTAGATACAAATACTCACTATTCAGAATGCATGACCAACCCACCCCTCCATCATTTAATGTAGGGCTGGTCATGGGGGCATTTAGCCTAGACAATTGTCCAAGGCCCCCGATTTTTAGGGGCCTCCAGATAAAAAATTACCAATATAAATTTATATTTAATTGAAATTATAGTTAAACTTGAATATTCAAATAAAATCAATCTCAAATAATCGTAAATAAAAATTAAAAGGACTTTTTACATGAATATTACTACTTTAGAGTCAATTTCCAAAAATGTGACCAAGAAGGTCATATACAGAGGCGGAGTATTAAAAATTAAAAAACCTATTAGTATTAATATCAGTGTTGTAAAAAGCTTCTAAAGGTGTCGCCAAGGCGTGAGCCAAATTTAACATGCCACCACCGAATTTAGAGCGGCTGATCGCCTGTACTTAAGGTAGGCAGCGGAATCTAATTTATAAAGCTTCGTAAGGAGGGTTTCTCATCATTCTACCGGTGTGGGAAAAACTCCTAAGTAAAAAGAGCGAACAATTTGAAATGCGAAGCCTGGTTTTAAGTAGGTTGACTTTGTACTATAGCTATGGCCCATGTTCCAATTTGTCTCACACCCAATTGTTACCCTTGAATTGAACTTTGTTTTCATTTACGTACTATTAAGATTATTATATTATTCTAATGACGCTATCACGCTAAACAAGTAAACAACCACTTATTGATTTATTATTATAATAATAATTGTTATCTCATCATACAACTATTTTATTCAATTCTAATTTTTGTGTAACAGGTTAATACGTATTTCTGAGATTTACTACTTTAATTTTGAGATACATGTTTGTTGGTGATTTGAAAAGTATGATGTTCTTGTATGTACATAGAGTAGTTAGAGTTTATTAAGAAATACGGAGTATAAAGTTATGTAGTTAAATTAGTAATTGACTAGTAAAATGTAAATAATAATAATAATAATAATGAATTAGAACCACGTAAATGTTATCAAAAAGGAAATATTAAAAATAATAATCCCAACTATTGCCGGTCCGCTAACAATAATCCCAACTATTGATTATTTTTGTATAATCCCAACTATATGGACCATCCGCCAATAATGGTCCATGACCAAATATTACCTTCTACAAAAGTGAATTTTAAATAGAAATTAAGCGTAAAAATTAAAAGTTGTGATTATTTATAGAGATTACTTGTTATATCTCTTCTCATCCGCTTTAGAAAGGACATGAATTTATTTACAGGGACTGTTATTGGCGGAAGGACCCTAAAGTTGGGATTATTCTGAAATAATCGATAGTTGGGATTATTATAAGCGGACCGCCAATAGTTGGGATTATTACAATCAATTTTTCCTATCAAAAATGTTATGATACTAATTTAAGGCAAGAAAAATAGGCCAATATGATATATTGATATTACAAGTACAAGTTTGTGATGCATTTTACATATATTAGCATTTTAAAACTTATCCATTTGAATATTAAAAATGCTACATCATGAATTTCGAATAATTTTTTTTCATATGGTGCTATTTATTGAATTAATCTTATTCAATACCATTTGTGCGTAGTATATTTTTTTGCCTAGGGCCTCTCAAATGCTAAAGACGCCCCTTGTCATATATTTGGAAAAACATAGTTATGTCATATTCTTATGTCACTTTAGTTTTTTATGTCACTGCCAGTTTTGATTTTTTTATGAGTGAGTGTTCATTACATCACTTCTTTTTTTATGGATAATATCTACGTGCATGCTTTTAGCAGCACCCATGATGATTTTTGATATTTTGTGGCATCAATTGTATAGATTTGGGCCACGAGTTAGACTATATGGAAATACTCTCTCAACCCCCTTTCTATGAGGGGGTGGACGGGCTTTAGATTTTGGACACATGCACTTGTTACTTTTCTTGGGTTTAACACTGGTTTACCTAGCATCCGGCATCTATTTCAATTACTACTATTTAAAGCCAAAAATGACTGAGAATACATGTCAGTTGCTAGAAGTAATGAATAAATCCCTTCCTTTAAGTTAAAATAGATGAGGAAAGGTTAAACAATATACAGGTAGAGAACATAAGTAGGTTTGGCCATCAGGACATACATTAATACATATAGAAAGGGTTACTACTGCATAGCACAAGAAATCCTTTCAGCGTGTCTTTTATCATACATGTTTATTCATCCATATATAATTGGGACTAAATTTGTATATATCTTTCAGAACCCAGAGTAGGGTGGTTTCTCCAAATCCTCAAGGGGGCGGAAAAAGGCTTTCAGCTCTAAGACAGACTGACCGGCGCC